GCCAGCGCTGTTGTCACCGCTCTGTCACCGCGCTGTCACCGCGCTGTCACCCGCCGCTGCTGCGCGCCGCTGACTCAGGAGCTGCGCGGGTTTGCGCTGCTTTTTCCCAAGAAAAACAGCCCCAAATCGGGACTTGCTCAGCCTGCCGGGCACACGCAGGGAGAGGGAGCTCGGGAACAAAGCGGCGCCGTGGGACGCGGAGGGGCCGCCCCGGCCGTCACTCGGTGCTGCCGTGACGCGACACCGGGAGGGTGGCACAGCCTCCACTGTTCTGGGGGGAATGTGAGCACAAAACTTCGGGATTTGAGCTTGGAAATGCAGGGATGGAACCCAGGAGAGATTTGGGGCTGTTCATGAGTCACACGTGGCTCTGAGCGTCCTGGTTTTAGTCCTGAATATCCAAACCGGTTTAAAACACCAAATCCTGACCATTCCAGGGTTCATCCTGACCTCAGTGCTTTCCCTAAAAAGGGCATGAGTGTTCCTGCCCCAGCCAGACCCTCCTGAGCTGTGTTTGCATCATTCCCAAACCTCACCTGCACTGTGGGATCCCGGATTTCCCAACCTCCCTCCCACCTGTGCCACTCTGGATGATCCCTCCCTGCCCTTGCTTTGTGTTTCCCTTTATTTGTATCGGTTCCCTATAATCGATACCCTGTATTTGCATCGATTTCCCGTGGTTTCAGTGCTGCTGGGAAAACTTTCTGTCAGATTTCCCTGTGCTGGGATCTGCCAGACCCAGGAGGAGCAGCCCAGTGACTCCATCCCTGCTGGAGTTTAAATCCTGATTAAACTCCTTATTAAATTAAATCCTGATTAAACACCAAATCCTGATAATTCCAGGGTTCATCCTGACCTCAGTGCTTTCCCTAAACCATTCAAGAGTGCTCCCGGGGGGTTTGTGCCACAGCCAGACCCTCCTGAGCTGTGTTTGCATCATTCCCAAACCACACCTGCGCTGTGGGATCCCGGATTTCCCAACCTCCCTCCCACCTGTGCCACCCCGATGATCTCTCCCTGCCTTTGCTCTTGTGTTCCCTGTATTTGTATCGATTTCCCGTGGTTTCAGTGCTGCTGGGAACCCTTTCTGTCAGTGTCCCCTGCACTGGGATGTGCCAGACCCAGGAGGAGCAGCCCGGTGACTCCATCCCTGCTGGAGGAGCTCCAGGGCACAGCGTGAGGAACAGCGCCACCAGAGCCATTCCCGAAAATCGCCCGCCCTGTCCCGAGCTGCCGGGAGCAGGCGGGAAGCGCTGCTGCAGAATTCAGGAGGGTTTTTGTTTGTGCTCAGGAGGGCTGCGGTGACTCAGGCCCGGTGCTGAGTCACGGAGCAGAGCCAGGCGAGGCAGGAGTCAGCGCTGGCCCCGCTCCAGCAGCAGCAGGAGGTGGGACCACGCCGGGCTCCAGAGGTTTGCCCCCCTGGCAGGAGGAGTTCTGCCTCTGTGGGGGTCATTGCTTCACTTTTGGGGGTGTGCAGGAGACCTGGGTGTCCCCGCTGTCCTGTGCTCCCTGCCCAGGCTGCAGGCGTCACATCCCAGCCCTTTGCCAAACGATGATTGCGTTAAAAAATGGGCAAAGGGACGATGGAGATGGATCCAAAATCGGAGCTCTGCTGGATCCAACCCAGGGCAGTGCTGGATCCACAGACAGGGCAGTGCTGGATCCAGACCAGGGCAGTGCTGGATCCAAATTTGGGCACTGCTGGATCCAAAACTTGGGCAGTGCTGGATCCACAGCCAGGGCACTGCTGGATCCACATCTGGGCACTGCTGGATCCAAAACCAGAGCACTGCTGGATCCACATCTGGGCACTGCTGGATCCAAAAACAGGGCAGTGCTGGATCCCAAACCAGGGCAGTGCTGGATCCCAACCCAGGGCAGTACTGTGGATCCAGCAGTTCCCAGATGTGGATCCAGCAGTGCCCAGGTTTTGGATCCAGCAGGGCCCTGGTTTTGGATCCAGAAGTGCCCTGGTGTAGATTCAGCACTGCCCTGGCTGTGGATCCAGCAGTGCCCTAGTTTGGATCCAGCTGTGCTCTTGGTTTGGATCCAGCACTGCCCAAATCTGGATCCAGCACTGCCCAGATGTGGATCCAGCACTGTCCAGGCTGTGGATCCAGCACTGCCCTGCTTTGGATCCTCAGGCTGCTGCAGGGACAGGGATGGGGGTGGGAGCAGCTCCCAGAAGTTCTCTGAACTCTCCCTGGGCTGATTCATCGGCCTCGCTCCGTAAACAGGAAGCTGAGAAAGTCCAGGCAGGTGATCCTGTGCTGCTGCAAACACTTGGGAACACAAATTCCTGGCATTTTTTCCCCCCAGCTGCCTGCTAACTCTTGTCCAGGTGAAGTGTTGTTCTGGCAGTTGTGCAGCAGGAAGGGCTCTGGAGGTCATGGCACGGGTTTGGAAGGAGCTGGAGTTTGGCACAGAGCTTTTCCCTGCTCCTGATCCCATTGCAAAATTTGGGATTGGGAGGGATTCAGATCCCACTGTGGGACAGCACTGACTGCTGCTTCTGTCTGCTCTTGGGGGTGGAAAATGCCGTGCTGGGAAGAAGGAAACTGGGATTCACTGGGATTCACTGGGCAGCTGCAGCTGGGCTGTTTGGGAGCGCCTCAAATGGGAACAGGGAAACTGGGATTCACTGGGATTCACTGGGTTTCACTGGGTTTCACTGGGATTCACTGGGATTCACTGGGGAGCTGCAGCTGGGCTGTTTTGGAGCGCCTCAAAGCGGAGCAGCAGCTCCTTCCCCAGGGAACAGCCTCCTTCCTCCTCCCGTTTTCCACAGAACCGGACCTGATTTCACCCTGGCAGCTTCCCCGTGCTGGCCTGACTTAACTTCCAGGACGGGAGAGAGGCGGAGATTCCCAAACAGCGCCGATAATTCAGGGAATCCTCCCTCCCTCCCTCCCTCGGGGAGCCGGGAATGCGGAGCTGCACTTTCCTCCTTCCCTGCCCCATTCCCGAGTGCTGCTCAGGGATTGAGGAGCTGAGAGCGCTGCCAAGCAAAATAATCCCTGAGAGTGCCCTCGTGGTCTGGAATGAACTCCTCAAACGTCTAAACATAGGCGAGACAGCGAGGATTTGGGCTGGGCCGGGCGCTCCCACCCCCGGTCCCGCCGGGAACGCTCGGCTTTGAAGCTGCCAGGCCCGGGGAGAAGCTTGGAGGAGCCTCTAATTAAGGCATGGAAGGGCTGCAGTGGGCGGCCGGCGGGTTTGCTTTGGCTCCTTCCCCTCCTGGAATCGTGTCTGGCTCTGGTGGGAGGTGGGAGCTGCCCCCCGTGCCCTGGGGGCTGAGTCAGCGGCTGGGACACCTCCACGGGGGTGGCACAGAGGGGACAGGCCAAGGGTGGTGTCTGGACAAGGGGTTTGGTGTGGCTGGAGGTGCCCCCGGGACAGAGGGGATTGTTTGGGTGTTGTGGAAAAAATCCGTCAGTTCCTGCTGTGAAACCAAGGAAGGGGTTCAGGGCCTGTCAGGGCATTGTGGGGGTGTAGGGACAGCCCCATTAACAGGTGGGATGTAAATCCCATGGGCAGGTTGGACATAAATCCCATGGGCAGGTTGGACATGAATCCTATAGGCAGGTGGGACACAAATCCTATGGAAAGGTTAGAATAAATCCTATAGGAAGGTTGGACATAAATCCTGTGGGAAGGTTGGACACAAATCCTATGGGAAGATTGGACATAAATTCTATGGGAAGGTTGGACATAAATCCCATGGGCAGGTTGTATATAAATCCCATGGGAAGGTTGGGCATGAATCCTATGGGAAAATTGGATATAAATCCCATGGAAAGGTTGGACATAAATCCCATGGGCAGGTGGGACACAAATCCCATGGGAAGGTTGGACATGAATCCCATGGAAAGGTAGGACACGAATTCTATGGGAAATTGGGATATAAATCCCATGGAAAGGTTGGGCACAAATCCCATGGACAGGTTGGACACAAATCCCATAGGAAGGTTGGACATGAACCCTATGGGAAGGTTGGACATGAATCCCATGGAAAGGTTGGACACAAATCCCATGGACAGGTGGGACACAAATCCCATGGAAATGTTGGACACAAATCCCATAGGAAGGTTGGACATGAATCCCATGGAAAGATTGGACACAAATTCTATAGGAAGGTGTCATGGTTTGACACCAGGTGCCAATATTCAAATCTCAGCCCTGATTGGTTTGACCACAAACTTCCAAAAATCTCACTTCCTTTTCAAACCAGGACAGAGGTTTGGACACAAATCCCATGGGCATGTTGGACATAAATCCCATGGGAAGGTTGGACATGAATCCCATGGGAAGGTTGGACACGAATTCTGTGGGAAATTTGGATATAAATCCCATGGAAAGGTTGGACACAAATCCCATGGAAAGGTTGGACATAAATCCCATAGGAAGGTTGGACATGAATCCTATGGGCAGGTGGGACACAAATCCCATTGGAAAGTTGGACATAAATCCTATGGAAAGGTTGGACACAAATCCCATGGAAAGGTTGGACATAAATCCCGTGGGAAATTCAGATGTGGTCCCATGGACACAGCCCCGTGTGCAGGTTGGATGTGACCCACATGCAGGTGTCACCTGTCCAGGGACCCCAAAGCCCCCAGGGCTGTCCCAGAAGGTTCCAGGAGCCCCCCAGGGACCCCAAAGCCCCCAGGGCTGCTCCAGGAGCCCCCAGAGCCCCCCTTGGTGCCCAGCCCTGGGGCAGAGCTTCCCTCCCACAGAACCGGGCGGATTTTTCCGTCTGCTCAGCAGAGCTTTCAACAGAACTCCCTGGAAAGGGGATCCTGAGAGCTCCTTCAGGGAAAGGGGAACTTGAAACAAGCTCAGGAAGCATCAGTGGGGCCACCAAAGCTCTTTTTGGTGGCTGTGGGTGTGGGGGATGAATTTTAACCTCCCATCCCATCCATCCATGATGCTGGGATGGAGCACAAAGTCAGGGCAGCTCCAGCCCTGCTCCAGCCCCTCTGTGCCCGTGTTCCCTGCAGGATTCTGCTGTGCTGGGGCCCGGAGCCGATGGCAGAGAATGTCCACGACTAACAACATAGCTCAGGCCAGGAAGCTCGTGGAGCAGCTCCGCATCGAGGCCGGGATCGAGAGGATCAAGGTGAGGATGGGACTGGGAATGTGCTCTCTTTGTTATGGGAACTGTTATAGGAATGTGCTCTTTGTTATAGGAACTGTTATAGGATTGTGCTCTTTGTTATAGGGTTGTGCTCTTTGTTATAGGAACTGTTATAGGAATGTGCTCTTTGTTATAGGGTTGTGCTCTTTGTTATAGGAACTGTTATAGGATTGTGCTCTTTGTTATAGGATTGTGCTCTTTGTTACAGGAACTTGCTCTTTGTTACAGGAATGTGCTCTTTGACTTTGTTGACACAGTGACAAAACTCTCCTTTGTCCCCTTGAAAAGGAAATAAGCTCAAAGTGTCTCTCCTTAATGAGGTGAAAAGGCATCTCATAGGACTTGGGAGACTTCACTTCATTAAGGATAGCTAATTGGACAAGAGTTAAAAAGTCTGGCTTGGACAATTTACTAGAAAAAGAAGAGAACAAAAAAACTAGTGGCTTTTGTGAGGTGTTTTTCTGGAGGACAAGAGATGCACTTAGATTAGTTTTTCTCTATAAAAAAATTTGTTATTTTGCCTTTTATTAAAACCTTTTTGTTTCCAACACTGCCACAAAAGCCATCTCACTCATTTTATGCCTTCTAAAGTAGCTGAGCTATCTTAGGTGTGAAATCTCCCAAGAGTTGATGAGACCTGGCTCCAAAAGACTCCTAATTCAGGTGGGAGTGGGAAGAGATCCTGGGTTTCCCCCCAGCATTCCAGGATTCCCTCCAAGGAAGCCAGAGAGGGTCTCTCCATCAGGATTTGGTGACAAGAACAAATGGATTTGGATGGAAAGAGGGGAATTTTAGGGTTGGTGGACAGAAGGAATTCTCTCCATGGCACAAAACAGCTCTGGCTGCCCCTGGAAGTGCCCAGGGCCAGGCTGGATGAGCTTGGAGGGAAAGAGAAACCTCCAGATGCGGCTCCATCTCTGCCCTGTGTCATTAAGGAAATTGAAATTAATAAAAACAAGATCAGGAAATCTCCAGAGCCTCCAGCAGCTCCCTGGGGATTTGGAGCCTCCTCTGATCCCTCCAAGCTCTCCCTTCCCAAAAAACCAGCTTGGAACTAAACCAAGCACTGCCTTAAACAATGGATCCTAAAGTTTTCCAAACCTTGACAAGAGGCTGCACTCAGGGAATCTTTTCCTTCACTTTTTCATCCCAAATCCATGAAAAACGCAGCTACCATAATATCCCTTTGAAATCCTATAGAGAAAAGCTGGATGTAAATCCCCAAAAATCCTGGGAATATTCCCATAAATTCCTGCTTTTTTCTCCAATATCCAGATCTTTAAAGCTCATCCCAAATCTCTGAAAAACACAGCTACAATAATATCCCTTTTAAATCCTATAGGGAAAGGCTGGATGTAAATCTCCAAAAATCCTGTAAGCACTGGTGACTCTGAGCTGGGAATATTCCCATAAATTCCTGTTTTTTTCTCCAATATCCAGGTCTTTAAAGCTCATCCCAAATCCCTGAATAACACAGATACAATATTCAATTTAAATCTCCCAGCTGGGGCATTTCCCCACACTCCTCACTGTAAACTCTGATTTTCCACCTCCAAAATTCCCATTTTCCTCCTCATCTCCCCAGAATTTCTCTTGGGAAAAGCTGGATGTCAAAGCCCAAAAATCCTGGAAGTGCTGCTGACTTTGAGATGGGATTATCCCCCAAATTCCTGTGATTATCCCTCAAATTCCTGCTTTTTTTTTATCCCCAAACTCCAGGTCTCCAAAGCATCCTCGGAGCTGATGAATTACTGTGAGCAGCATGCTCGGAATGATCCTCTCCTGGTGGGAGTTCCTGCTTCTGAGAATCCCTTTAAGGACAAAAAGCCCTGTATCATCCTATAGCTGTGGATCCTTCTGGAAGGAAATCCCCATCCAGCCTCTGGATCCAGGCTCCTCCACAGCTCCACCTGCACCCAGGGGTAAAAACTCAACGCTGGCTTCAAACAGAACTTAAAAATTTCCTGAGAAAAACAAAACAAAACAAAAAAAAATCCAAGAAAAACAAAAATATCCAAGAAAAACAAAACAAAAAAAAAATCCCAGAGAAAAACAAAACAAAAAAAATACCCCAAAAAGTAAATTTGGAATGGGGGGTTTTTAGGGAAAGGGTGGCTGCTTCCTGGGGAGGAAAGTGGGATTAAGAATTGGAATCAGGATTTTAAAATTTACCCAGGGTTGAGGGAGGAAAGGAAGGTGGAGAGGGGGATTTTTTTTAATCGGGATATTTGGATTTGGGAAAGGGGTGCTTGTGGGGTCATTCCCAGTGGGATGTGAGAGCTGGACCTGGATCCAATCAGAGCCAAATCAGCAGGAATTTCCTCTGGAGAAGGGGTGAGGTGGGATCCATTTTGTAAAAAATCAGTACAAAAAGAAAAAAAAAAAACCCCAAAACCCCCAAATCCAGCTGGAAAAATCCCAGTTGGGAATGGCCAAAGGGAGGCTGGGGAGGCTTTTCCCTGAATCCCAGGGCTCTGCTGGGATCCAGGAATGGCCCTGCAGGGCAATTCCCAGCTGGGAGAGACCCCAGGAGGAATTTTAGGGATCCCCAGGGATGGGGGAGGTCGGGATCTTTGGGGGTCTCTGTGCTGTCCCCAAATTCAGGGAGGGAGGGAAAGGAAGGAGCTTCCTGGTGCATCCAGAATCTTGGAAAAATCAAATTTTGGGGGAGTTTCAACCCGAATCAACAAATCCCCAGCGTTTCCCATCTCCCTTTTCCAACACTGGAATTCTTCCCACTAAATCCAGGGCCTGGGAATTGTCCAGGGAGGTTTAGGGCAGGTGGGGAAGGGGAATGGAAGAATCAGTTGTGTTCCCATCCCTTGGGAATCTGGGACTGGGATTGAACTGGGAGCGCTTGGATCTCATGGGGATGAGCTGGCATGGAGGGGAGAGCAGGAGAAGGGGAGCAGGGAAAGGGGAGCAGGAAAAGGGGATCTGGAAAAGGGAGCAGGAAAAGGGAACAGGAAAATGGGAGCAGGGAAAGGGGAGCAGGAAAAGAGGGAGATAGAAAAAGGGGAGCAGGGAAAGGGGATCTGGAAAAGGGGAGCAGGAAAAGGGGAGCAGGAAAAGGGAGCAGGAAAATGGGAGCAGGAAAAGGGAGCAGGAAAAGGGGAGCAGAAAAAGGGAGCAGGAAAAGGGGAGCAGGAAAAGGGGATCTGGAAAAGGGGAGCAGGAAAAGGGGAGCAGGAAAAGGGGAGCAGGAAAAGGGGAGCAGAAAAAGGGAGCAGGAAAAGGGGAGCAGGAAAAGGGGAGCAGGAGAAGAGGGAGATAGAAAAAGGGAGCAGGAAAAGGGGAACAGGAAAAGGGGAGCAGGGAAAGGGGATCTGGAAAAGGGGAGCAGGAAAAGGGGAACAGAAGAAGGGGGAGCTGGAGAAGCTTCCATGGAGCCCCTGGGTGGATGCTCAGGAGAACTCCAGGAATTCCACAAAGTGGGAAAAGGACAAATCCCAGGATTTGGATGCAGTGCCCAATCCATGTCCCCAGGGCCCATCCTGGGGCTCAGCAGCTCCTGGGAGACATTCCCAGAATCCCAGAATCCATGAGGCCGGAAAAGATTTCCCAAAACCACCGTAGGCAGAGGCCATTCCTGGTTATCCTGAGCACAGGATTTTTGGGGAGAGAAGGGATAAAAACAACCCAGCCAGAGCTGATGTCAAATCCTGGGAGTTTCCCCATTCCCCACAAAGCTTTGGATGGAGTTGGGAATGCCAAGGATGGGGTTGGGAATGCCAGGGATGGGAATGCCAGGGTTAGGAATGCCAGGGATGGGGTCAGGAATGCTAGGGGTGGGTTAGGAATGCCAGGGATGGCAATGCCAGGGATGGGGTTGGGAATGCCAGGGTTAGGAATGCCAGGGATGGGGTCAGGAATGCCAGGATGGGGTTAGGAATGCCAGGATGGGGTTAGGAATGGCAGGGATTGGTTTAGGAATGACAGGGTTAGGAATGCCAGGGATTGGGTTAGCAATGCCAGGATGGGGTTAGCAATGGCAGGGATTGGGTTGGAAATGCCAGGGTTAGCAATGCCAGGATGGGGTTAGGAATGCCAGGATGGGGTTAGCGATGCCAGGGATTGGGTTAGGAATTCCAGGGATGGGGTTAGGAATGCCAGGGTTAGGAATGCCAGGGATGGGGTTAGGAATGCCAGGATGGGGTTAGGAATGCCAGGGTTAGGAATGCCAGGGATGGGGTTAGGAATGCCAGGATGGGGTTAGGAATGCCAGGGTTAGCAATACCAGGGATCCCATCACGGGGCAGGGAGCAATTCCCATGGGAGAGGAATTTGCAATTCCCTGGATTCCCTCTGAACCCCCGCGGCCCAACCTGGTGCTGCTGGGAGGGGTCACCGGTGCTGGAGCTGCTCCAGCCCTTTTCCAGAGGCAGATGGAATTCCAGGGGCCTCCTGTCCCCTCCCCGGCTGCAGGAATGTCGCTGTTCCTCGTTTTCTGCCATTTGCCTTTGCCACAAAGCCGGGGAAATGCCACGTTTAACCCTAAAGCTGTGCGGCTTTTCCTGGGAATGCTCCCCGAATTCCAGAGCTCGGGAATGTCCCCCCCCATCCATTGGGGGGGAGCAGAGCAGGGAAAACGAGATTATTTCCCAATAATTTCCCTCCCTGTCCCTCAGCCCCAGCAAAGCCTTTATTGGAGGGTTTGATCCCAAATCCCGAATCCCAAACCCCGCTCCAAGCTCCGCCCGCCGGGATTCCCGCGGCCACTCCCGAGCCCAGCCCGGGATTCCTCCTCCAGGAGGGAATTCCCTCTTGTCCTTAATCTCTCGGACAGTTCCAGCCTTATTTTTCTACTCCAGATCTGATTCTTCCTCTGTGTTCGAGACCAGAGCTTGGTGCTATCCTTGGAGCCGGGGCTGGAGCCGGGAATTCTTCCTCCTCCTCCTCCTCCTCCTCCTTCTCCTCCTCCTCAGGGGCTCCAACCCCTCCATCCCGGGAGGATCCCGTGGGATGGGAATCCCGAGGGATGCTGGGTCAGATATTTTGGGGTCTGGGTGCTTTGGGGTCGCTCTGCCTCCCCCGTGCCGGGGTCCTGCCCGAGCCAAAGCCACGCTGGAGCCGGGAAATGGGAAAAGGGAAAAGGATCTGGGAAATGGGAAATGGGAAAAGGGATGGGAGAAGGGAAATGGGAGAAGGGAGATGGGAAAAGGGAGATGGGAAAAGGGATGGGAGAAGGGAAATGGGATGGGAAAAGGGAAAAGAGAAAAGGGAAAAGGGAAAAGGGAAGAAAAGGGATGGGAAAAGGAGGCAGGAAAAGGGGCAAGGAGCAGGGAAAAGGGATAGGAGAAGGGAAAAGGGATGGAAGAAGGAAAAGGGGTGGGAGAAGAGGTTGGGAGAAGGGAAAAAGGGGTTGGGAGAAGGGAAAAGAGATTGGGAAAAGGGAAATGGGAGATGGGAAAAGGAGCCAGGAAAAGGGACAAGGAGCTGGGGGAAATAGGGGCAAGGAGCAGGGAAAAGGGGTTGGGAAAAGGGAAAAGAGGTTGGGAGAAGGGAACAGGGGTTGGGAGATGGGAAAAGGGATGGGAGAAGGAAAAGGGATGGGAGAAGTTTGGAAAAGGGAAAAAGGGGTTGGGAGAAGGGAAAGGGGGTTGGGAGATGGGAAAAGAAGACAGGAAAGGGGACAAGGAGCTGGAGGAAAAAGGGACAAGGAGCAGGGAAAAGGGGTTGGGAAAAGGGAAAAGGGATGGGAGAAGAAGTTTGGAAAAGGGAAAAGGGGTTGGGAGAAGGGAAAAAGGTTTGGGAGAAGGGGTCAGGAGAGGGGAAGGTAACTGGGAAAAGTGAAAAGGACTCAGGAGAAGGAACAGGGGCAGGGAGAGGGGAAAAGGGGTTGGGAAAAGGGAAAAGGAGCCAGGGAAAGGGGCAGGGAGAGGGAGAAAGGCCACGGAGCATCTCCCATGGGATCCCTGAATGCCAAGGGTCCCACCAGGAGCTGGGGGTGGGAGCTGCTGGCAGGTGCTGGTGTCTCCATGGATGACTCATTTTTGTTGGGAAAAAAATTCCTTAATTTTTTTTTTCTTTTTTTTTTTTTCCCCACCTTTTTTTTCCCCTTTTTTTTTTTTTTTTCCCCCAGAATTTTCTCCTTGTCCGAGTAAATCCGTGCTCATGCCGTGGGTGTTTTTTGTATGGCAGAAATAGAAGTGCAGATTCCCAGTAGTTGCTTGTACTTTGTTCAGTGCATTTGCCAAATCAATTTATTTAAAAAAAAAAAAATTTAAAAGAAAAAAAAAAAAGGAAAAAGGAGGAAAAAAAACCCACAAAAAAAAAAAAAAAAAAAAAGAGGGGGAAAAAAACAAAAAAAACACACAAAAAAAGACTTTTCAGAACTTTTTAAGTGCTGGAAGGGGGAGCAGGAGGAGCTGGAGCCCAGCTCCACAAAAGCCTTTTTTTTGGGATTTAACCACATGCCCAGATCTGCCCGGCCTTTCTTTATGGGATGTGGTGAAGCCAGTGCCAAAAATAGAAATCTGGGAATAAAAGGGCCAGGGAAACCAAACATTGCTCCTATTCCAGTTTTCCTCCCCTCCCTGTCTCGGGGGACGGAGCTGGGACACCCCGGAGCCTCTGCATCTCCCAAATGCCCCTTTTCATTTCCCCCCTTAAACTCCTTAAAAAATCCACCTTTATTTAACAAAATCCCAATAATTCCTTTACTCTGAACCCACGCGGGATCCTTGGCTCTCCTCGTTTTCTCCTTCTCTCTGGTCTATCATTCAAATAATCATTAATTATTATTATTAATATTATTATTTGCCAAACTCTGATCTCGTTGCCAAACGCCAATCCAGGTTTTTTCCGGACTGTCCTTAGGAAGTGGTCGGTGTCTGTGCCGTAGGCTCCTCATCCGTCTGCAATTCCTGATTTTTTTTTGGGGTTGTTTTGTTGATTTTGCCCTTTCTCGTGTGCCATAGCCCCAAACCCCTCCTTGCACCGTGTTTAATATTTCGTGGAATCGTTGTTCCCAAGTGAATGGATAACACAATAAAAAAGGCTCACTTTGCATTTTGCCAATTTGCTCTGCCTGCCTGTGCTGAGAATTCCGTGTGGGAATTCCGGATCCTCCCTCGGGATTTCCCTTGTCCCCTTTTCCACCCTTGGGATTCCCCTTTCCCACCCCCTGGAGCTCCCATTGGGATCGGGAATGCCAATTCCCAGGAATTGCAATTCCTCAAGGGTCTCAGCTCCTCGGAAATCCCAAATCCTTGGGAATTCCTTCACTTTTTGGGATTCCCCTTTTCCACCTCCTGGATGCTCAGGTGGGATCGGGAATGCCCATTCCCAGGAATTGCAACTTCTCAAGGGTCTCAGCTCCTCAAAAATCCACCCCAGGGAATCCCTCCACTTTTTGGGATTCCCATTTCCCACCCCCTGGATGCTCAAATGGGATTAGGAATGCCAGTTCCCAGGAATTGCAACTTCTCAAGGGTCTCAGCTCAGAAATCCACGTTGGGAATCCCTCCTCTCCCCTGGATTCCCCTTTCCCATTCCCTGGAGCTCCCATCGGGATTAGGAATTCCAATTCCCAGGAATTGAAGCCCTTCAAGGATCTCAGCTCCTCAGAAATCCCAAATCCTTGGGAATCCTCCAACTCTCAGGGATTCCCTTTTCTCATGCCCTGGATGCTCAGGTGGGATCGGGAATGCCAATTCCCAGGAATTGCAGCTCCTCAAGGGTCTCAACTCCTTGGAAATCCACGTTGGGAATCCCTCCACCCTCAGAGATTCCCCTTTCCCATCCCCTGGATGCTCAAATGGGATCAGGAATGCCAATTCCCAGGAATTGAAGCCCCTCAAGGATCTCAGCTCCTCGGAAATCCCAAATCCTTGGGAATCCCTCCACTTTTTGGGATTCCCCTTTTCCACCTCCTGGATGCTCAGGTGGGATCGGGAATGCCAATTCCCAGGAATTGCAACTCCTCAAGGGTCTCAGCTCCTCAAAAATCCCTCCTTGGGAATCTCCACTCTCAGGGATTCCCCTTTCCCATCCCCTGGATGCTCAGGTGGGATTGGGAATGCCAATTCCAAGGAATTGCAGCCCCTCAAGGATCTCAGCTCCTCAAAAATCCCCCCTTGGGAATCCGCGGCTCTCAGGGATTCCCTTTTCCCACCCCTGTTCTCCCCATCCCTGGTGGCTCCTCCTGGGACCTTTTGGGAATCTCCTTTTCCCCGGGAATCTCCGGAGCCATCCCACCCCATCCCACAGAGAAAACCAAACCCAGCGCTGAATTCCTTCCCTTTTATTTCCCGTTAAAAGCGATCCCGGCCCGGCTGGAAACCCAGCGGGATCCAAGGCCGGGAGCGAGTCCTTGGAATGCGCCGCTCCCGCTGCAGCCGCGGGCCGGGAATTGTTGGGATTTTTCAGCGTCTGCTCCCAAAAACGCCGCTGGGGAGGGCGGGATGGACACAGGGGGACAAACAGCAGGTCCTGTGTCATTGTCCCCAAGCCAGAATCCCAAATTCCCTTCTATACCCGGAGGTGGCAGCGGGTGGCGGTGCCAGCGCCAAAGCGACACCGGCCGGGTGGCACCGGGCTGGGAGCGGCTAAAAATAACCCTCCCTCCTCCGCCGGGCTATTCTTAGCCTGGCTGCCGCTCTAATTAACTCCCGGCAGCGCTAATTAACTCCTTACCCCCGGAGCCGCGGCCACCGGGACGGCGCGGGTGGCGCAGGGACAACCGCGGGTCCCCCCGGTGCCACCGGAGCGGGGGCAGCACCGAGGTCACCCCGCGGCCGTGGAGGATCCCCCCGTGTCCCCACGCGGGTGACACGGGGACACCCGTGACGCAATGGTGCCACCACGGTGACGTCACGGGCGGACTTCCCGCTCCGGGCGTCACCGGCGGGGGAGGGGAGGCGGCTCCGTGCCTCAGTTTCCCCCGATTTGCAGCGGGTTTGGGGTATCGGGGTGGGCTGAGCTGCCCCCCGGGGGGGGGTTTGGGGTGGGCGGTGTCCCCCTGGTTTCGTGTCCCCGATGTCGCTGCCAGGGTGGAGCCGGAGCCGCCGGAGCCGCCGGAGCCGCCCAGGCCAGACTCATAAATCAGCGGCTCCGGCGCGGCTCCGGCCCTGCCCTGTCTGGCTGCGGCCGCCCCAGAGCCGGGAAGGGGCTCGGTGTCCCCACCCGAACCGAACCCCCCCCGTGTCACCCCCCGTGTCACCCCCCGCCCCCCTGGCGTCACCCTCGGGGCGACATCTGCGTCCCCCGTGTCACCGCCACCCCCCAAAAAACAAAAACCCGCCGTGTTACCTTTTGGGGGGGGTGCCCACCACCCACCCTGCACCCCCAGGGCTGGCTGCGACCTCCTAATTAATTATTAACTAGCTAATTATCGCTCAGGGTTTAATTACCGCGCGTATCGAGGCGGGTGGTCCCGCTGGGTGGGCTCCGGGGGGGTCCTGAGGATTTTGGGGGGTCTGGGGGGGTCTCACCCTTCGCAGCCCCGTGACACGGCCCCAGCCTGACACAGCGGTCACACGAGTGGCACGGCCGCGGTGACAGCGGCGACAGGAATGGCCGCGTGACCCCGCGGTGACAGCGGCGACAGGCGGCTGCCTCATCAGTGAAACGAGTTTGGGCGGCCTCAGCCGCCCTCGGGCCCTTTCCCTTTGTGATTTTCCCAGGAACAGCGCGACCCCGCCCCGAGCCGAGACCCCCACAGCTGGGGGACCTGAAGGGATCACAGTTCGGGGTGTTGTCACCGCTTTGTCCCCGCCAGGACGCGGCGGAGTGGCCGTCACGCCGTGCCTCAGTTTCCCCCGCAATCAACCCCCAAAGGAGGGCACAGGGCACGGTCCCCAAGGCACGCGACACTCCGGGACGGCCACCGTGTCCCCAGCCGGGGCTGGCCGGTCGTTGTGTCCCTGCCCCGGCGGACGCCGTGTCCCGGGCTCAGGATCCGCCTGGCTCCGGGCCGGGGCTGGCGCCGCTCCCGGGGCTGTCACCGGGGCCACCCCGGGTGACACCGCGCGTGTGACGGGGACAGCGCGAGCTCAGGTGAGCCCCGCATGCACCGGGGCGGGGTCCGGGGAGCCCCCACTGCCCACAAAAGGGGGACCCCACCCCTGAGCCCACCGCCCTCGCTGTCCCCGCAGCCCTCGGGGTTCTCCTTGTCCCCACCCCCGGAGGACAAAGGGAATTCCCCAGCCGGGATTGGGGCTCCCCCCACCCCCGCTGCAGCCCCCGGCCCGGTTCCCACGGTTTCTGCGCGGGTGGGGGAAGCTCCAGCCCCGAGCCTGGGGGGGGGGGCCGTGCCTCAGTTTCCCACAGAGCCCGTGGGTGTTTTTCTTGGAAAAACCCTTATTCAGAGAAGGGTGGGGTGGGAATTTCTCCTCCAGCAGCAGCAGCGAGGCCACACACGGGTGGGAACCCCCCGGCCCTATAAAAGGTGGAGCCCACCCCAAAACCCACCCAGGAAGCGCCGATCCCGCTCCCGCTCCCTTGGGAACGGCTCCAGCAGAGCACAGGGAAGAGCAAACACCACTAACGTCAGACATTTTATTGCAAATAAATTTAGTTCCTCGCTCGGTAGAAGAATAAACTCTGGAAAAGGTTCAGCTCAGGGTGTCCAAGTGCAAAAGCAGCACCCGGAGGGTGCAAGTCCATCCGCGCAGATGTCCGTAATTCCTTGGAAAAAACAGTTTGTGCACCAAAAAAAAAAAAAAAAATTAAAACTCCAGCTCTCTCTGCAGTCCTCGCCTCCATCGGGTCCCAAAATCGCGACAGTTTCCAGCTCGGGGGTCACCCCCGCGCTCCGCAGCGCCCGCCCGGGGCTCCCCAGCTCCAACACGACTCCTCGGCCGGCGGCTCCGGCCAGCGTCCATCGGGCTCCGGGCTCCGGCCAGTGTCCATCCGGCTCCGGCCAGCGTCCATCGGGCTCCGGGCTCCGGCCAGTGTCCATCCGGCGTCCCCCGCCGGGCTCGGCCCGGCTCCCTCCATTCCCACCGCAGCCGCCGCGCTCCCCCTTCCTCCTCTCCGGTTCAAAAGAAAAATAAAATCGGTGGGTTTTGTGGGGCGTTGTGGGTTGGAACTGGCTGTTTCTCCCTTCTTTTTTTGTTTTTTTTCCTGCTGTTTAGGTTATTTTTTTTTTTTAAAAAGGGTTTTAATCCTTTCAAGTCCAGGCCGGGAAGGGCTCAGCGCTCCTGCAGACACACGAATGGCACCCACTGGTTCCTATCGCGACTCTCGGCGCAGTAATTCGCCACCTCCGCCAAGCCCTGGCTCTTCCAGGCGTCCGTGTGCGGGTTCTGGAGGATCAGGAGCATGACATTAGTGCCACCAGCGCCCCGACACGTGTCCCCGAGCCGCCCCGTCACCCTCCCCGGCCGTGTCACGGGGCCGGCGGCGTCACCCCCGTGCTCACCGTGACAAGCAGGCAGTGCAGGTCGCGGGGCTCGGAGTCCGCCTGCGGCTCGCCCAGGATGGCGGCCAGGCGCTGCATGCCCGACACGCGCAGGATGTGGATGTCGTTGTCGCAGCAGAACGCCTGGATGAGCGTGAAGTGGATCTGCAGGGCGATGTCACCCTCGTCCTCCTCGTCCGTGGCCAGCACGCACAGCACCACGCTGTCCGGGTCCCTGCGGGGGACAGGCGGGTTAGGGGCGACCGGGACAGCTCGGGATAATGGAACCCCTTCCCGCGGACCTGTCACTCCTCTGTGTCACCCCGCTGTCGCGACAGACCCCCCAAATTCTGTGTGGTCACCATCACTCCGTAAAACGCTCCAGCCCTGCGCTAAACGGGCCGGGATGAACCCCGCCACACGAGCCAGACCCCCCCGACAAACCCCCCGACAGAGCCATATCGCGATACTCACACATTCATCAGCTTGGCCGACTCGTAGACCCCCACGGTGAGGCGGTCCTGCCGCTGAGCCGCCACCAGCACCCGCTCCACCGCCTCGCTCACCGCCTGCATCCTGTCGGGAGGAACGGCACAGCCGGTGAGCGGCGACGGCGACAAACACAGATTCCCCCTCCGAGCGCCCCGAGCCGCCCGCCACTTACTTGCTGCTATCGCAAGGCACCAGCTCCTCCAGGGTCATGGTGCAATTGTAATCCGCAGGAGAAGAAGGCAGACTCCAAGAGCAATAATCCCGAGCGCGGCTACGACGGGGATATCGCGGAGATACCGCGGCGCTATCGCGATCCCCTGTCCCGCTCCGCTCCCGCCGCCGCTCCAGCGCGATCGCTCTGAGCCCCAGCCGCGCCCTGCGCCTCATTTTATATCCTTCCTCCGAAGGGCGTGGCCTCGCGCGGCGCCCCCGCCTCGTCTATTGGCTGGCGCCGCGCGGAACCACCCACAGGCGCGGCGCTGATTGGGCGCCGCCGGCGGGACCCACGTGGGGGTGAAACGCGGGGGGGGAAAGCGCGGGGGAAACCCCCGCCCTGAAACTGCGCCCCCCCCGCGGGCACGGGCGTGGGACCGGCGGGACCGGGGGGAAACCGGGGGTCGGAACCGGGCTGGGGTCGGTCTGGGGGACCGGGACCCGCTCCGGGGGTCGCTCCGTGCACCGGGGACTGATCTGTGGGACCGGGGGCTGCACCAGGGGTCGCTCCGGGGGTCGCTCCCTGCACCGGGGGTTGATTTGTGGGACCGGGGGCTGCACCGAGGGTCGCTCCGTGCACCGGGGGTTGCACAGGGGGGTCGGTTCGTGCAGCGGGGGTCGCTCCGGGGGCGGTCAGTGCACCGGGGGTTAATCTGTGGGACCGCAGGCTGCACAGGGGGGTCGTTTCTTGCACCGGGACCCGCTCCGGGGGTCGCTCCGTGCACTGGGGGTCGCTCCGAGGGTCAGCCGGTGCACCGGGAGTGGGTCGGTGGGACAGGGGGCTGCGCAGGGGGGTCGCCCCGTGCACCGGGGGTCGCTCCAGGGGTCGTTTCTTGCACCGGGAGTCGGTCGGTGCGCCGGAGGGTGATCTGAGAGACTGGGGGCTGCACCGGGGGTCGCTCGGTGCACGGGTCGGCCCTTGACACCGGGGGCTTTTGCAGGGGCCGGTTCGTGCACAGGGGTCTGCACGGCGGGGGTCGGTCCGTGGGCGGCGGAACGGTCCGTGCACCGGCGGCCGCACCGGGGGTCTGTCGGTGGAGCGAGGCCTGCACCGGGGGCGGCAATTCACGCACCGGGCCGCGGGGGCGGTCGGTCCGTGCACCGGGACCCGCAGGCGGGGGCGGGAGGGGTCGGTGCGCTCAGAGCCGGGGGAAACGGGGACACGCGGGGAGCTCCGGGCGGCGCGGGCGGCGGCCGCCACCTGCCGGGGACACAGCGGGGACACAGCGGGGACACACCGGGCCCGCCGGGGACACAGCGCTCCCGCTGTCCCGGGACTTGGGCACACCGGGGTCACCTCACTTTGGCCCCGAGTCCCGCAGCTGCCGGGCCGGACCGGTCCGTGAACCCCCGGGGGTCGCGGAAGGCGCCCACGCCGTGCCTCAGTTTCCCTCGGACGCGTCCTGAGCTGTATTCCCCACGCTGCCCCCGCCCACGGCGGTGCTGGCGCTACGTGCGTGTCGCCGCTGTCCCCTCCCGGTGTCCCCTCGGCGTCCCCCGTGTGCCACCACAGCCATGGCCGCGCTCCCGCTCCGACTCCTCCGAGCCGCCAGGCGGCGCTGTCAGCGCCCTCTCTATGGCCGCCGCCGCAAAGCCTTCTGGGAAGTGTAGTCCGGCAGCGCCCGCCTTTCCCGCGCCATTACACGGAGACTACATTACCCAGAAGGCTTTGTGACCACGACTGGGCGGGGACTCGGGGTGTGGGCAGGGCGCGGTGCCGCCAAACGGGGACCGAACTGGGCTGGGGGCAACCGAAGGGAGACCAGACCGAGTGGGGGAGCCGAAACTGAGAGGGGCCACTGGACCGGGACCGGACCGGGACTGCGGGGGTTGCGCTAGACCGGACCGGGGGGAGCGGACTCGGCGGTGGTCGGGTCGGGGTTCCCCATGCTCCGGTCCTGCCGGTGTCCGCCGGTGCCCCCCCGTCCCGGGTGTCTGTGGGGATCCTGTGGGTTTTGGGGATCCCTGGGGACCGGAGGGACATAAAGGGACCGGACAGGGATGGAACGGGACCGGAGAGCCCCGCTGGGGATGCTGGAGAGCCCGGAAGGGCTGTGGGACAACAGAGCGGCAGCGCCCCTGTGTCCCCCTGTCCGTCCCTCTGTCTGTGTTCCCTGTCGATCGCCTGTCTGTCCCCCTGTTGTATTCCCTATCGGTCCCTTCTCTGTTCTCTCGGCTATCCCCCTCTGTCCCCAGGTCTGTCCCCCTGTCTGTATTCCCTGTCTGTCCATCTGTCTGTATGTCCTCTCTGTCCCCTGTCTGTCCCCCCCTACGTCCCCTGTTTGTCCTCCTTTCCCTCCCCTGTCTGTCCCCCTTTCTGTCCGCTGTCCGTCCCCTATCTGTCCCCATGGCTGTCCCCCTGTCTGTATTGCCTGGCTGTCCTTCTGTCTGTGTTTCCTCTCTGTCCCCCCCGTCTGTTCCCCTTTCCGTCCCCCCGTCCGTCTCCTGTCTGTTCCCTTGTCTGTCCCTTTTCCATCCCGTCTGTCCCCCTGTCTGTCCTCCTTTCCATCCCCCGCCTGTCCCCTGTCTGTCCCCACCTCCCCGTCCGTGCCCCCCCGGTCTGAGCGGTGTCCGGAGCCGCTCCCGGTGTTTGTTTGCTCACGGAATTGGCAGCGGCTGCGGCCCGGGGGGGTCACCGGGGGGTCCCCGCCTGGGCCCGGCTCTGACGTCCGTCCCTGCCCGCTGCCCGGTGGCCGCTGTGTCCCCAGGGCCGCTGTGTGCCCCCCGCAGCCCGGTGACAGCGACAGTGCGGGGCTTTGGGGGGACACAGGCGCCCCGTGTGCGTCACTGCGTGTTTGGGGGTGTCCAGGGGTGGGGGTATAAAGCCGAGCTGGCACATCCCGGAGCATCCAGGGCATGCAGAACATGGAGAGGGCTCTGCTGTGCCTGCTCTGCCTGCTGGGCTCCGGCCTCGTCCTGCTCGGCACCCCCGAACCGGTACCGGAGCTCCGGCCCGGACTGAGCCCGCCCGGGCACGGCCGGGAGGAGCCGGAGCTGGTGAGGGGCTGGGGAGCTGGGGCGGGGGGTCCCCAGCACCCCCGGGAGGGTCTGGGGCATTTCGGGGTGTTCCTGTTCCCCCCGTGAGGGTTTGGGGCGTTTTGGGGTGTTCCTGTCCTCCCCATGAGGGTTTGGGGCGTTTTGGGGTGTTCCTGTCCTCCCCAGCCCGGTTGAGGGGGTTCCTGTTCCCTCCGTGAGGGTTTGGGTCGTTTTGGGGTGTTCCTGTTCCCTCCGTGAGGGTTTGGGGGTGTTTCTGTTCCCACCGCGAGGATTTGAGGCGTTTCGGGGTGTTCCCGTTCCCCCTGCCCGGTTTGGGGCGTTTCGGGGTGTTCCTGTTCCCCCAGTGAGGGTTTGGGGCGTTTCGGGAGGTTCCTTTTCCTTGGGCGTCCCGGGAATGACCCTCTGGAGTCCCTGGGTGTCCCGGGATTTGGGGGTGCCCCTCTGGAGCCCCTGATATCCCGGCATTTCGGGGTGCCCCGCTGCTGTCCGTGCGTATCCCGGCATTTCGGGGTGCCCCTTGGAGCCCCCGATATCCCGGCATTTCGGGGTGCCCCTTGGAGCCCCCGATATCCCGGCATTTCGGGGTGCCCCTCCCCGCGGCAGGCAGGGGCGCTCCGGGAGGTTCTGGCCGAGCTGGGGACGCGGGAGCCGCCGGCGCTGGAGAAGCGGCTGAGCCGGGTGCCCTGGGTACGGCGGGGCTGGGGGCGGCTCGGGGGGACCCCAAACCCCCCCTTCGGCGGGGGTCCGGCCCCGGGGCTGACGGTGCCGCCCCGCAGTGCTTGCTCGGGGAGCCGTGCGCGGTGCGGCGCGGGGCGCGCATCGGGAAACTCTGCAGCTGCCCCCGCGGCACCTCCTGCAACCTCTTCATCCTCAAGTGCTCCTGAGGGAGCGGGGACACCGGGGGACACCGAGGGACACCGGGGGACACCAGCTGCCACCCGCCCGCGACCCGGGATGGACCCGCACGGCATCGCCCGTGCCCCGGCCCGTGGGGCTGGCGGTGTCCAGGGACACATTAAACCCTTGGATCCATGCCTGCCGCCTGCTTTTTTGGGGGGATTTTGAGGTTCCCAGCTCCCTTTGCCTCCTGAGCGGGGTGGGGGTCCCATCCTGCTCGCCTCCCGTGTCGGGAATTTGAGGTTGGGGCGGGAATGGGGGACAAGGAATGGGAATCTCCTCCCGCTGCGGGAGAGGGGGAGCGGGAATGGGAGCGCTGCGGGGACGGGCAGGGAGGTGAGTCCTGGATCTGAGTCCTGGATTCCCGAGCTGATGGACGGGGATGGACGGAGGATCCGAGGGATGCGGGGGGCTCATACGGCCCGGCCCGGCCCGGCCGCATCCCAAATCCCGCATCCAGATTCCAAATCCGCATCCAGAATCTCGGATCCCCGCCCAAAATCCCGCATCCCCATCCAGAATCCCGCATTCCCCATCCAGAATCCCGCATTCCCCATCCACGATCCCAAATCCCTATCCACCATCCCAAATCTCCATCCACGACCCCGCACCGCCCGCGCGGGCCCCACCCGCTGCCCCACCCCGCGCGTTGCCCCTTTAAGACCCCTCTCTCCCACCTCCGCTCCGCCCACCCGCCTCCCATTCTGCCTCTCCCATTGGCTGTCGGTGACATCAGTGGGTGTGGTCTGGGCGGTGGTGACGCAGGGGGCGTGGTCAGCGGGGCGGGCGGGGGGCGCCGAAGATGGCGGCGGCTCCGGTGGCTCCGGCGGCTCCGGCGGCTCCGGCGGCGGGGCCGCGCCGCTTCTCGCTGCTCGCCATCGTGGGCGGCGGCTGCCACCGGCCCGGCCTCAGGGCCGCCGCCCTGCAGCAGCTGGAGCGAGGTGAGACTCGCGTGATGCTCCGCGGGATCCTCCGGGACCCGCCCCGCCGCCACCGGGGGAGCCCCCCCGGGGATGCCGCGCTCGGTTCCGTTCGGTCCCGGGGTGTGATCGCCCCTGTGGGGATGCCCCGTTCCGCCCCAGCCCGCCGGGATCCGCCCCTGCGCCTTCCCAGGGTTTGCGCCCCGAAATCCCGAAATTCCCAGGATTTGCCCCATTTCCTGCCCCCCCCCCGGAATCTGCGCCCTCTCCTCCCTCTCAGCCGCCTCGATTGCCCCTCAGAAATCCCAGATCTGCCCCTT